TGCTCGTTTAGGTAAAGACCAATAAGACTAAAGACATGTCAAGCTAAGATTGTGGTAGAAGCAACTTACATGTTACGTTGACGTAAATTGATTTTATGATTGGACTTCCTACGACACTGTTGTCAACGGTACATGTGTATGTCCCGGTATCGCCTTTAGCTAAACTTGAAAATCTATGCATCAGTAAGCCTCCTATTCTGCTCCCTAAAATCCTTGAATGACCTTGTTTTGTCCAGGAAATGTTTGGTTCTGGACAGCCTGTGGTACTACAATTTAAATCCAAGGAGCTTCCTTCCTTAAGGACAACGACATTTACTGCTGGTGTGGTATTGATAGTAGCGGGAACTGCAACGACCAATGCAAGAATGATTAATAATTTCCTCTGAATTGAGGATAAACCTGCAAAGGACCAACACTTTTAAAATTCATTCGGGAATACAAGGACATAATTAATTTGGAGCCAAATGCAAACTCTATAGAGTACTATAGTAATCTATATTTCTTTCGTTTTGAGAAAGAACCAAGTATTATTATTTTCAAATAAAACAGGGCCATCCGCAATTACTGGAAAAAAGCACGTTGCTCAATTTAAAACAGGAGTATCTTTCAAATGACGGTAAGTAAATAGATCTATTTACTTCTACAATATATTCAATAAGCATGCATATACTATATTCCTACCATTTATTGTTAGGGCGACGTGACCTAAGCCACTTGAGCCGTATTCATTGTCTGCTCTACAGGAAAAATTCCTCCATCCRCAGCCATCGATATATGGTATCACATGCCTTGCAGCCACTGAACCATCACAAATCATGCCCGTGTAACGTGCGATAAGATTACTGCCGTTGTAGAAGGTAACGTTACATCTCTGAGGCTTGGACAAAGATGAACAGAGCAATGTCACATTTTCTCCTCTTAAAAACGTGTTATTGCTCCTACTACTTGATAACGAGGTGCTTTCTGGTTTKACTGTTGGGGAAAAAAAGAGACAACATTAAAAAATGGTATGACGAGAACACGACAAGATTATTTTTGAGCAGTGAGATTCTCATTGTCGATGAAAGGTGAGTAGATAGCCATTAAAATAAGACAATCACTAACTTTGCTGTAAATGACATACCTTACGCTTATTTCAAATACATATGACTTCACAACACAGAAATATGTCGTTAGTACGAACTGAGCTAGTCACCTTGGAAGAATATATGCCGAACAAAAGATTGTCCAGCGGAAAAATTGAAAATTCCGGATCACTCAGTCTTTTTATTGCATATACATCGAACGTATGCAMGACACAGAGCTAATTCAATTGGAAAAAATTGTCTCTTCAACTTCCAACCTCTCGTAAAGGACCAGAGCTTCTGTTCGACGGTAGGTAGCGACTGAGTAGACTCACGCAGTACGTGATTATTAAATGAAACAAAACAACATCAAAATAATTAAATACAAATCTACTCATGCAACTAAAAGTGTGTTTTTAATCAGCGTAAGTCACAAATTTCTTCCATGATGTCAAAACATTACGTTCCAGTCTCGCTTCTCTTGGTTTGTACAGCTAGAGATGGTGTACTATCAACAGTTTATTTTAATATTGTAAAAGAGATTTGTATGGTTACTGCTTTCTTTTGGAAATAATTTCATCATTTGCTATACTAAAATTCTATTTTCCGAAAAAAGGAGGTAAACTAGGAGTGGTTATGCCGCCTAGTTTTTGAAATACTTTGTATGCATAGTATTAACCACGACAGAAGTGTACTGAAATAGGAAAATAGCTATAACCTCCTTCCTGATAAAGAAAGGACTGCATGTGATAGCATTGTAAAAGAGCTGRCTGAGAAGCTATCACGTCAGTACAATTTTTGTTGAAGGATCGATTTAGCATTTCTAAGAATCCCTTCTTCTTTTAACTGATAAGATAAATGTTAGAAATCTTTCTACTTTCTTCATTTTTGTTATATTTCCTAATTTTATAAACAAAAAAGAGATATTGCGCTGATCAAAAAATAGTCCTTGCATATGATAACATAAAAGTTATATAGAGCGGATTTCGTATGACTGTGCAACGGCACGGATCACAGCACGGACACGGCACGGCACAGTCACGGAACCTCGCCTTCTAGTATTCCAAATGAAAATAAAGATTTAACAATGCATTACCGCTATGGCACGGTACGGTGCCATCATTTTTGTCATACGAAATCCGCACTATCGGCATCAAGACTTTTTACTCTCAATTTTTGTCATGTCATCCAAACTGATCTGCATTCCCAGAAACTACAGCACAAGGCGTTTATACACCACGATTATATCTATACACCAATCGTTCGTTTTTGATGATATCTCAATGATTGAGACTGGAACGAGTGACATTCGATTTAGAAAAAAATTGTGACCCACGCTAAATACCATGCATTAATTGCAACGAGTGATCAAGTGCAACATAAAGGTAAAGGCTACACCATGCATAMAACTGCTGTGAAAAATTTTACAGAATAATTATGCCTACATTACGTGAAATGAGGTGCTCGATGCATGCAATGAAACAGAACAATTACATTTAAAATGAACATAGTGCGTAAATCATGCACGGTTAATTATAGCTTTCAACGCAAGCAAGCCATGCAATTAAACATAAAACTAACAATATCAGTGAGATTCAACGTCCAACATGCTTGTGATGAAACTCAAAAGCGTAAGTCGTCGTGTTGAAGTTCTYCTCGAATTGATGTTGAAGGCGGTTTATGAAATGCCCCATAATGAGCTAAGATCTACAATTCACTTCTTGATATCCGAATCGTTCTAAAAAATCTCATTTATTTGCTTAAAATCTTCAATATATCTGTTAACTTTAATGAAGAAGAAGCAGAATTTTCAATCCTAATATTGCAAGTCGCTTGCACAAAGTGACATTAAGATATTCTTAAGMGGGCTGAATGCAGTGATCAATGAAAGTAATTGAATTATTAGTTTTCCATGATGGAACGGGAGGGGAAGGTTAATAAGATGTAAGYTCAGCATAAGTGTACTTACAATTGACAGTTACGTTAATAGTAGCACTTTTTGTAGGACATTCGACGCCGTTATMAACCGTACAGCGGTAAAGACCTTCATCAATTCGCTTTATATTCCCTATAGAATAGACATTTCCTAGGCGATCTGGTTTACCACTTCTTGTCCATTTGACAGTAAGGTTTGGCGTTCCAGAGACATTGCACGCAAGGTTGACATTAGATCCTTCAGCAACTACTGGATTACTTGTCGTTTTTGTGATGGCTGGCTTGACTTTTGAAAGAAATAAGGTAATATAAGTGTTAGGCAATTACTGTGCTTCAGCATACTGGAAAAAAAACATGATTAGCGGATTTTTAAGACTTGCATAGCAAAATTTATGTTTGTAGAAATTATTAGTAATCACTGCTAAGTTAACGGTAATACTGTATTTAGTTATAAAAAATAAGATTAACTTACTGTAAATGCATCAAACGGTCACAGTATCAATGAACTCCAACATCAAATTCCGAATGCAGTTCTAAAACTAAATATCTAAATATAAATTGTTCAAWTTACCTTTCGCAAYAACRTTGCCCGATACATTGTTTACCGCGTAGCCAAGAAGATTACCCGGAACACAGGTAAACTTGTTCACTGCTGGTGCTCCATGAATTGCTTTACTGATGTATGAGTTACTTGAGCCACTTTGAACAAGTTCTTCRCYATAATAAAACTTAAAGGCGGAAACCTCAGGGTTTGATGGTCCTGATTTACACGTCACATTGACAGTGTCATTTTGACACACGCTTGTGCGATCAAAGGTGAGTCCATGTGMTCCATATGGTTTGTCTAAAGTACGAGCAAGATGTTAATACTAGTAAAATACATAACCGCGTTTTAAATTCTAATAAAAAGAATTCGGACGCATTGTAATAGAAAATTTTGAGTCGTGGAAACCAGTTTGTGCATCGTTATAAATTCCACCAAAAGAAATAGGAAATGCGCGGCGACCCATTGCCAGGAACCCAACAATGGAAAATGTAGTACTTATGCGTTGAAATATACTCCATAAAACCTTGGGTTTTTTTAGGCTGTTATTGTATAGAAACACAAAAACGCACATAGGGAAAAAACCGCTGCGAGGACTGCATCTTCCATGATCACTCATACTTTGTTGTACAAAATAGTGTCACTGCACATTACCTATTGTCAGACCTCAATGAATTTGTTGTTACACAATTAAAACATGATGAAAATGTATTTTAACTACAGAAAATAGAAGAATAACCCGGCTCAAGCGTGAATCTGGCTATATAGCATATTAGCACAATATACAATAGTATCATAAAATAGGTCTTATTCAGAATAGATGCCATGATAGTTTTCATATTGTAATGCAAACTAGCCATGCTATTTTTTCTATTTTTTTCTGCAGGATCTTTCGCGATGATCTTATTAGTTTAACAGCAATGCTTTTACTTACATTGCACAGAAAGACAAACGTTGGCTGTCTTGGCTTCATAAACACCGTTGAACACAACACAAGTATAGCATCTTTCATGATCTTGGGGTGTGGCTTCAATGCTGAATGRGCTTCCTGTGCCAACAAGTACACCATTTCTTGTCCAGTTAACTGTTGGTGTCGGAAAACCAGTGGCATTGCACACAAGCTGTACGGTCTGTGTTTCATTGGCGGCGATAGTATACGGGTGCGAGCTTGTGATACTGGGAGGGACTATAAACATTGTAAAAGTAGTTAACAAACTAAAGCGACCAAAAACGAAATGTTTTACTGYTCCAGGCTGGTATGTAACCATCTCAAAAAAGATTGTCGGGCAAAATGATAAAGGGAAATTGTCGAACGGAGATTGCGTGACCTAAATCAGCCACGGATTTTGATAATTGATGGCAAATTATAACTGATTTGTGAAGTAACTGAATAGTCTGTGGTAAACATCCATTTTCACGCAATGTAAACCCAACCAGTGGAATTATGTCCAACACCGCGGTGACCATAGTACCCTGGTTCCAGAGGCTTGTCTCTTATTCTTTTGCTTACTATGTTTATCGAGCGGCGAGACGTTTCCCTTAATCGGTTTGTTTTTTTTCGCCAAGCCTCTGGTCACAAGCGTAGTAAATCTCACTTTCATGCTGTATTCAAGCAAACCAATCACAAATCGGAGTGTTGTAGCTGTCAAACATGTCAAATAAACGAACCAATAAGAGTTCATGACAGATAACAGATCATATTACTCCGATTACTTGAGGAAATCAAGATGAAATGAATTATCATTCTTGTTACATCTCACTTAGAAATATGGACTGTAAACGAAAAAATGCTCATTTTAAGCGTTCTTATGGCCTTGTTTCAGGACCTTTAAATGAGTTCTYTCATATCTCAAAACAAGAATTTTCATTCTTGAAATGAAACTAGTGTTTTCTTAAAATGATACGGAATGCACTCAAAACAAGAACTTGTTGATTATTTTAAGTACACATTATACCTCAGTACTTTAAGTTCAAACATTCTTTCAAGATATTTTTCCTTGATTTGAGAATTTCCCTGCTCTTGATTTGAGGTGTGCAATCTTATCTCAAGAGAACATAACTTGGAATAAGCAACTTTGCATTTACAGTGATATTCTTGAAACACGTTTCTATTTATAGTTCGAACTGTCTTAATTTAATTCGTTGTAAATTTTAGGAAGCACGGATTATSAAGAGGGTGTTGTTTTTTGAGCTCATTATTCGTTCTAATTCTAATTGGTTCTAATTCTTGTTTCAAGGGATTATTTCTCTGGGTATGTTGGTTTTATCATAGTTTTATCATGAGTTACTAACTATGGTTTTAYTCAAAGAGTTAAAAACTAATTGTAACGAGTGTGTTAAAGCTAAAACATTCACTGCACAGTCTTTTGAGCGAATTTAGTCTAGTATTATTAGTGATAAACCATTGTGATTGTCCTATCATCATTATTTTGAATAAGTCAAAGTTAACTAACTCTGAACAAGCACGATATGATTTACGCAAAAAAAACGCTTTAGCCGACTAAATAAACAACGCACAAAAATTGCTTAAACGTCAGGGTGCCGCTATCAAAAAAAACAGCGATGAATAATTCAAGAAAATGGAATTAATCTTGACTTTGCATTCTCGCATCTGTTAAGACTTATCAATTTTAAAGAGAAAGGASCGGTATAAATCAGGAAACCTCCACAATCTGCAGAGAAAGTTGATATTCACAAGTTTGCATAAGACTAACTACGTTGATTTGAACCATTTTAGTCATAAAGTATTATTTTCAATTTTAGTCAAACTTGAAGCATCTTTCAACAACTTGCTAAGTTTTTAATGAAACGCTTTACTGACTRTTGATTTGAATTTCTTAATACAAAACTGACTTATATAAAATTGCTGAGAATTTCCAAAATCTTTGCGATACTTCTCTTTGTTTGAAATGCTTTACTTCAGTTATAAAACTAGATTGAAAATATCTCAAGAACACAGGAATATGCAACTCACTGTCGAAAGTAGAATATGCTTCCGTTCGATTTCAATAAGCGACTTGTCAGCTCAAAATATTATGAAACATTCATTTTTATTTTCGAAAGTTTATTTCCTTCTATTGATTTCCCTAACATAATTGATGCCTTGGGGTCGTAATYCTTTGTTCGACATTAATATTTTACAAAGCAAATACTGAAAACATACCCCCTATGGCGGCGTATGACTCATACTTATATCGATACTAATACATCTAGAAAGGATATTTTGAGATATTGCTCAGGTTGACAATTTTTTTAAAAGTATTTTACAAATTTATTTTATCCAGTCTTTTCTATCTGCTTGTGGGCTGAAAAAAATCATTCATGTATATCAAATAGAGWTCGAGAGAATTTGAGTAGCAAGGAGTTTTGCTGCTTACCGATGTATAGTACTTGAGATWAAGTACCGAACTAAGAACTATCACCACTTCAGTGACTCCAAAAYCCTTCTTCACAAATGCGTGCGAAAGTCAAGAAAATAAATTATGGAAGTTTAAGTTCTACAATTATCGATAGAGTATTTTTTAAGATACGAAAYTCGACAATTTCGATGAAAAGCCATTTGWTTTGTTCTCTAATATTTCTATGGAAAAATAGATTTCAAAAGTATTCATGTTTACAATCAACAAAAGTCACTGTCTATTGCTCTTCAAGTGTATTTGCATTAACACATGACTGAAGCAGGTGCTTTTGAACAATATTCCGTTAAAGAGAGCTTCACTTAACTTTTAGACAATCACTACTTTTTTCCAATTTTTTTCACTTCAGCAATGCTGAGCAAATATGAAAACGCACAAATTGCAGTGGATCGAAGTAKATCAAAAATAGGCTATCATTTGTATTTTTTAAATTTAGTGTTTTGAAGTATTTGAGTGGCACATTTTCATTCAAAACAATAAATTAGAACATAAAGAGAAACAAAAACAGAAGGTGCGCCATTAAAGACTTTACAATCCAATAAATAACATTCAAACATTGAGCCCCTACGGACTAAAAGCAGTTTTAGATGCAGCTCGAAATCACTAATGACGTTGGAGGTACTTTTTATCAAGCTWACAGTCTTCATTGGTGAAAAATTAACGGCGTGATCCTTGCGATTAAAAAGAAAWASTTTGCGAGAAAAGTTGTCAATCATAGTTATAGTGACAATTTMTTGCGATTTGCGTTTAAAATTCGACAATTTCAGTTAGTTTATAACAAGTACGATTGCCAATCTCGTTTTWTTAATTTAGCYGATACCAGTTCATAGTAAATAAAAYCCTTGYRGCAAATAAACRCCATTGTCCTCCGTTGAAATAACCAGCAATGKCGCATTGTGGACGGTTGATTTAGCTGTTCATGATTGAGCATCTTGCTGTTTTATCGACTCTGGCTCAAGTATTGCTACTGGTTGAATGGTTCAATGATTGACTGGTTTGGTCTTGATCCGAACTAAACATGCAGCGAAGCGAAATGGCGATTGAAAAGAGTCGTTCACGTTTTCTTGTGGTTATATTAACCACAAAAGCAAACAATTTTATTGGATAATGGTACTTGACACCAAAACACGATTGATTGTTTGAATTACATCAAAGCACACAGTTTTTTAAACTRTCACAACTCATAAGATTACCGTTRTTCATGGCGATATGTCAATATTTGAGGCAATTTGTAAAGTAATATTGCAAAATAAACGATTAAGAAGTTGTAAAAATTCAAACTTAACAATCGTCAAATTCTATGGATGTAATAATTGAATAATAATTCAACCTCAAACTTACATGATGTTTCCCTGGTGAATCTAAGAGTGGCAGAAATACTTAGAACCTAGTGTATTATAACTGCATTGAAAGAAGAAAATGGTCTCTTGATAATTTTGCCATTGAGCGACATGATGCTCATCTTCCTTTTTGATATAAAATATTCTTTGTCAAGGCTTACCGTTAATAGTCAGAGATACTTTGGGAGACTCTTCGGTGTCTCTGGTGCTACTGGTAGTTACATCGTAGACAGCTTCATCAGTGATTTTGTTCAGATTTGCCAAAGAAAACTGGATGGTTACTATGGTCCCAGAAACGGTAGCATTCAAGGACAAGTCTGCTTTACGACCAACCCAGCCGTCTCGAGCGTCTGCTTTTTTGTCAAATTGACTGAAAAATATGTTTGCTTTCGCTATTCCACCGACATATTTCTTTACTATAGCACTAACAAAACTCCCGCTATCATCCATTTTCAGTGTCCAAGTTAGATTCATCACTTTGCCTTCTACTATAGTCAAAGCTGATGGAGGAGTAGATGTGAATTTGTCTACAGCTAAAACTAAAAACGAACGATTTACATTACTAGAAGTGGTGCCACAACAATTTCAAAATAATGCACAACTAACCTGTGCTTCGGAGAAATATTAAACACATCCAAACGCWTAWGGAGGTGACACTGGACATCTTCATCTTGGATGAAYTCTAATCAAATTCGACAGCTCTCTCCCACTTAAGATTTYCTGCCATAAAGTTCYCGATGTTTGGAATGAGCGGCCAATAACTTGTTTTGAAAGAGCATTTAAAATGTTGTTTTGATTGGYTACATAGACCACGTGAGGGTTCTATTTTCACTGATGAGAAAAGAGTTTTTATCCGCATACAATTGGAAATAACTCAATCTGCATACCAATTAGAATTGTATTATTGCAAGATAATTATGCGCACTGGTTATTGATGGAACAATAATTTTTGTTACCTTTAGTATTTTWATCTAAACCAAGTATTTTTTTAGAAGCCACTGCACTAAATGTTTTTTTTTTGACAATCAAATTCATTAATTCGGAGAAAATTTGGTGAAAGTACTAAAACACATTTCTATTAATCGGCCACCAGCTAGGCACATTATAATTGAACAATCGTTTTAGATATTCTGRCATTCAACTTGACACAATTACAAAACTGCTATCTCCATTTTAAGGTTTTTTGCTCCTGTGCTTTGAATTGAAATCGCGTCAAATCCGTAATTTTTATCACTAAAAATCATAAGCAGTTCATGAAAGTTCTTGGAGAAATATGAATGTGATCTTTCCTTTGGTCGACAATTTTATTTTTAAATAAACATTTTTTCTGTCAAATGCAAGAGAAGCAAAATACTATTGTAACCATGGATATGTAAGAAACATTTTTTTCTTAAATGAAAATACTACCTTCAGTGTACATCAAAACCCATTGTACGTCATTTATGTAGTTTCCATAACACGCTTCCCAGTGTTGAATATTCATGAACGATCATAAAGTAATAACAGGTCGTGGGGCTCTAGCACGATAACGTTAGGTCGATATTTCCCTGATTTGTTTAACTGACACATACTCAGTTCATTGTGATAGYAYATTTTTTACCTTTGCATGAGTAAMAAAACAGTCCTCTCAAATATTGACAAAATTATCATTTAAATACTGCAACTGAAAATTGTCATGAAAATAGTGMAATCAATTTGCACACGYCACATTCAACTGGTAGTCTGAAGTAGTTCGATAAGATATCTTGCGTTAAGCATTAAAGTCAATGCAGTTTTAGACCGTTTTTATTAATCATAGTCATAGAATATTTCATATTRCACTGCTAGTTAGACAATATTTTTATATCAAAACGAATCTTCTTCGATAAAAATTGTTTTTTCTTAATAAATTCCTGTACAGTAGTACAGTATAAAGAATCGATAAAGAAAAAAACTTTTTGATAATAATTTTGAATGAGAAATRCAAGCTATTAGTAGTAGACGAATTAACGTGGATCAAGAAATAAGGAGGGGTTCCTTGTGTGTTATGCATCTGAGTGTTACATAAAGTGATTATTGCGATTAAATCGGAATATTTTTGAATATATATTTTGGAAGAAATGGTAATGCTAAACCAAGGRTAGTATGCAAATATATCTATAAAAACCTCGAATAATTTGATCTAAAACAGCAATTTTATTGGTGCCCATCTTTATCAATCGTGGGCAAGATGTTAGCAAGCCGATTACTGAGAATAACAAACAACTGTCTAAAGATATGTCGAATTTGTCTTTTCACATTATATAAAATTAAATAACTCATGATATCCTTAATATTCAGTAAAGTGGAATCAGCCATGATTGTCCTTACTGTTCGCAAGATACCTCTCCAAATAATTTTACACAATTAAAAACTAGCTTTACTCATTAACTACTTTAATAAATAGATTAAAGATGAATTTCGAAATCAATATTATCAGATCAGTAATTGAGTTAATAATTCAATCTCCGCCAAATAAGGCGCGAATGCTTCAATGAAGTCATCTCTKTTATCCAWGTCCAATTTATTCATTGCCACGCCTGCAATCRCGCTGTTCATGGACACACAAAAGAAGATGTATGTAAATATTATTATGAGTTATTGAAATACAAACTATATACCCTTGAATCTATCGAGATATTTCTATTTAATATTATGTGGTAAATAGATATATCTTCAATATACGTGTATGCAACGAGTTTTACCAACTCAAAACCTGTCTACCATTAATTCCATGGGAAAATATGATAAACCAGTGGGTGGTCAASTTTAATTATCACTGATCAACGCAATTCAGTACTAATTTGGTATTGATACTATTACTGGGCACTCCAGAGAAAAATCGAGACTTTCCCAGCATTGTCTTTACGTCTATATCCTGAACCCCAAGTTGTGTCTTTGTTATCAGCAAAAACATTACAAAAAAATATTAGAAAAAAAAAAAACAGATAAGAAACTCGGTTATCAATAATACATTCAACAACTATAGCCTTTCTTACAGTCACTGACGAAATTTCTATTGACTCACTGAAATAATACAATGAAGAAAAATGATATTGACAAAGTCAATTCAGCTAGGACGTCAAGTACGGAGTTATGCATTTTTAAAAGACAAGGGAAACAATCTCAACCTCTGTGCATGGCGGCAGGACACTATGTTAAAATATTTGTTCTAATTAACTCTGAATGAGGTCATCATTACGTAGGATTCAGATTTTTWAAATGTTACAAATTCCAATTACGATATCCCTGGGTGACCTCATGTTTTCCCATTTTAGTATGTCTTTAACTGCTTCAAAAAAAAAGTTTAACTACGACATAAATGCTCGATAAAAGACTATAAGTGCACGCGGGAAATGTCTGTTATCACAAGCAACTAACATTCGCTGACGATTTTGTTGCACGGTTTTGTTTTTTGCAAAAATCATCCGTGTAGTCTTTTTTAACTATAAAGACTGAAATAGGTCATATCATGCGCAAACGAAAAGTAGCCTCAGATTATGATATATTTATTCATATTACAAATTACAATTCATATTACAAGTCAGTACTGTGTAATTCCAGTGCATTATAAAGTAAAGATCGATTTTGATAAATCACTAGTTGCACCTGTATTGAAAGTGTAGTGCATTTATTTTGTACTTTTTAGGCAAATCGTCATATGCGCTTTTGTCGAAATTTTGATTTTAAAAATTTACTTAATATTTGAAAGAAAAAGAATGATAGGCCGYACGCTACTGTGATATAATAGRTTTTATTTCGCAAGCTTTCGTTCGATTCACTAAGGATTTAGAATCTTAATGCTTTAGTTCTAAATCCTTTGCATTACTGTATTTACATCTACTGCACCCAGTGATCCAGTGGATTACTAGCCTTCTAACTTAAGCTAGTATGTAAATTCATGCACTCTCCTGTTGATGTYGGTGTCCAACGGAACTTGAAAACAAAACGTATCATCACAGTAGYGTACGGCCTAACATTCATCTTCTTTCACAACACGACGCTACTGAAGGACAACTTTGAAACTCTTCTTTATATAATATTTTGGCTTTTGAAGCTTTTGAATAAATTTGAACAGAATTCAGTTCGACGAAATTAAAGACCTGCATACATCCAAGAACCTTTGCAATCGTTTGTTAATTTCAGAAATTAAATGTTGTTTAATTAGAAAAAGTCAAGTCAAAGCATAGTTAATATTAACTATGGTCAGAGTAAGGAATAGCTTATCAAGTCTTAAATTTCGGCGCAAATCACGTAACATGAAAACAAAGTAGTGCAGACGTGTCAACTGAAAACYCATATCTCACATTTGTCTCAAAGTGCAATTTTATCAAATGTTTGCATAAATAATCATTTGCATCATAGCAGTTATTTGAGCAGCGATGCGGTTTCTCAAAAGACTTTTTCTGTATAAGTTCTCTTATAGTTCTGCTTAAAAATAGGTGATTTTTTTCTACTTCTATAAAAAAGCTCATTCTTTTCAAGCCAGCTAAGCAGAGCTTKTTTAGACCCGGTAACATAASTCAGACGGGTCTTGTTCGGACGCTGAGCCTTCAATGTGTCCATTTTCGATTTCTTTTTTCTGTAATAGAAGAAGTATTTCGTTATCTTAAACTATTTAGGCCAGTGTTTTGGCGCGATCTTATAAAATGTAGTACTGTGATGAAAAACAGAAATACGTTTTATAGCAAATAAATAACAAGTTGCAGGSTCAGTCAAAACGTCTTCAACTTTTATAATGGCCCTGGAAGTAGGAATGCAACCGAGTCAAAACTTCTAGGAATTCTAGAAAAACCCAATTAGTTAAATCTGTCAAAGTTAACGAAAGACATTCATTCCTTTTTTTTC